TGAAGCATGTCTTGCTTTGTAGATCTAAATGACTGTAAAAATTTCTGGAGAATTTATCTTTGTCAACCTCACTGTGCACCCATTACTGCTCCTCCTGGCGATATTTAATTCCTGCCACTGACAAAAGGTTAAATGTACTAACAAACCCCTTCGAGACATATGTCCACATGTTTTAGTTAGTTCTACAATCCAATCCTTTACTTGCAAACAAAATGTCAGCGTGTACCCAAACGTTCGAGTGTTGGGATAATGCACTGATTGAACAGGCCAGAAGTGTTTGAGGCAGAACACCAGTCCCTTTTCGGTATTTGCTGTCTTTGACCAGTCCACTTCATTTTTAGCCTTCTGTCTAAAGTCCCCATTGATTTAATGGTAACATATATTTAAATTGTGGCTTTAAAGAGGAAGTTGTTGGCTTTCAAAACCAATAACTTCTGTGCCCGCTCACCCACCGAACCACACAACTCCCAACACCAAACAAGCAGCCTTGAAATAAGTTATTGATCACTTTAACATGTCCCGAATTGATTTCATGGAAAGTGTCTTATTGTTTTTATAGAAACATGAACATTACAAGAAAATTGCCCCCAAAGTATCTTTGGTGGTGGGGATGGAAGTTCTACTCTGTAATGGAAATATTGGGTTTGGAGTATGGTGAAAAGAGTAAATACTTTGTCTGATCCCTCTTCCTAATCCAAAGTGCTGTTTTTATTCAAACATATAAAAACTGAGCATTTTAAACTGAGCATTTCTGGGTTCATGGCCAACTCGGTTTTATGCAGTTCTGTTGGCGGGGTGCTTTACTCGAGTGAGCATGTTAGCCTTAAACAGTAATTCTGGGTGCCATTTGTCTGGAATTGAAACAATCATCTGTTTCCTGGAGCTAGTCAATTGATCCTCATTACATCCAGCCAGCGCCATTGACTACCCTTTAAGACCAGTCATCCATATTGATCGGGCGTTAAAGATTACCAGGCAGCCCCATTTCCCCTGCATGTGATTCTGCTCCACAGGCATTAGCTTTCACTGATCTCTGGTTATGTGAGCTGTAACCTTACTGTGCTCCATTCATCTGAAAGCATGCGTTTTAATCGTTACTCCGCCATATTGTTTGACTGTGGCAAGAAGGCAATTGAGTTGGGGGTTCCTCAAGATAATTACCTCTTTCAGATGATGATTGAGACTGAGAGGGTTTTTTTTCTCCTCACTCATTTTATAGGAAGTTTTATATTCAATAATCATTTTGTGCTAATCTGGTGTAGATGGAAGTGGCCTCACAGCCTCCCTTCATTCACTGAGTTCACTTGAGGTATATATTCCTTTCCAGGATCTTTTCTTGAATTGAGTTTAAGAATTTCATGTGACCATGAAATTAATTTATGTAGACCACTAAATTTTTATGTCCGACATCTTTTTCTAAGTTGTTTCATTTGGAAACAATCTATGAATTCAATATTACTCCTAACTCTTTCCTAACATTTGACGACCTCATCTGCACCGTAAATGACAAGTTTTGACACCTCAATGTATATCAATAAAGACCTTGTTTGACAACTATTGGAACAAGTTCCTCGTTTTTCCGAGGGTATCCCTAATAAACTGTATAGTCAGAGATGACCCTCACTAAATTTTGATACTCACCCAGTCATTTTGTTCTGAAAGCAGGTCTGAAATATGACAGAAACAGCTCAGTTTAAAAAAAAAAAGAAATAGGGGTTACCTCTAGTAGGCATTCAAAGGGGAAAGAGTTAAGGTTCTGAATTAAGTATTTTAGTGTAGTCTGTGAAAACCAGTGCACTATAAAGATGGGAAATATTACCTAAACACTTTGAGTGCTCTGAAGATTTAGGAAGCTAGCTAATTTTCAACTTTCTGATAACAACCTCAACATGTCCTTGTGTTGGCTGTCATGCTTCGTCTTGCATTTCATTAAGAATGAATTGAAATGTAGAAATGTTAAGTCATCATGCGAAAGAAAAAAAATGTTAGAGAGAGAGAGAGAGAGAGAGAGAGAGAGCTTTTTGTAAATACTAATGTTTGTTGGATTAGGAAATTGTTTTTTCTTTTTAGTTTTTTGTGTAGGTTTTTTTTTCATGAATATGTCATTTATAGGTTTGGTTAACTTCTAGCATCGATAATAAGTAGCTACATTTTTTACTTCAATTTAAGCACATAAATCCTGTTTGTGGATTGTGCAAATATTCGGAAATAATAGCAATTGAAAAGCAATATAATTGCAAGATTTGTTTTCACAAGATGAACAAAATGACGTTGCACATTAAAATGCTTGACAAGTTTGAAAATGTTCATCATCAGTTCTTAAAGCAGAAACAAATATGCACGCATAATTTTCTGAATGACTTTGACCAGTGACAAAATTATTGAAAACATGGTCAGGGCATCTCCACAAGTGCTACCAAAATGAATACAAGAAAAGATGACTGCTGAACTGACGACAGAGGCTCAAGGTTTCAAAATATATGTAGGAAGAGAAGGCTGGCTGTGATATAAAGGTCACACAGAGCATCATAGTTTTCACCCACAGAATGCACAGAGTACTCTTTTTGGCTGTCACCAACCACCTCAGTTGCTTTAAGTGGACATGCAAGTGTCAGAACTGAACAATATAACGATCTGTGTGATGTTTTGCTGAAGACCTTGGGTCATAAAATTCATGTTACTTTGACATACATCTCCCACATGAAAATTGTAGGCCATGAACTAGTCTTCATGGTGACAGTATATCCTGTTTGTTTTGACATGACATAAAGAATTCAAGAAGTTGACTCAGCTTCCACATCCCTCAGATCTCAGTTCGATCACACCATCTTGAGGCTCTATCCTAGTACTTACAAGGATCTTCTGCTAAAGTCCTGGCAGCTGATACTTGAGGACATTATCAGAGGTCTTATGGTATCCATGCCTCGGTGGATCGGGGGTATTTCAGTGGCACAAGGGGGACCTACTTAAGCTGCAGCTGGTTTCAATGGTGTGTTTTGTAGCTCAGTTTAGCTCAGTTAGGGCTCAGTAGTTATTACATTCACCTTAGACATGAAGCCAGGCAGAGATACAAACTAGTCTCAGGTGACCACAAGCTAGTGTACTTCCAGTCCCCCTCCTAACTAACCCAGTGCCAGATTCAGATTGCTGTTAGCTGTACCAAAAGGAAGTAAAGCACTTACTTGTTATGGGACAGGTAGAGCATCCCCTTTTCATATATAGGCCTGGATTTTGCTGTAATTATGGTCCATTTACATCCAGCATCTTGTCATAAAGGCTTCCTTGCCTCTGTAATTAACCTTGCCTTTAATTGTCTTTCCCCTCATCCTCCGGCATTGTCCTTCCAACCGTCCAGAGCAAGTGTGAGAACAGGATGAGAGCCAAGAAGAGTAGGAGTGGGGAATGATTGGCTTGGTCCATTAATAGTGGGAGTGGTCTTTCAGATGGAGGAGTGCATTGCTGGACAGATGAATGCACAAAACAAGGATGAATGAAGGTCTTGTGAGGGATAACATGTAAATGGGTGTGGTGTTTGAATGATTGAGAGAGACCCTTGAGAGAAAGGGAGAGCAAGATGGATCAATGATGCCATGTACAGTTTCCTTTTTAAATGATCCTTGAAAATATTTTGTTGTATTTAAAACACACACACACTAGTAAGGAAGGAGTTAATGGTAACTGCTGCAAAATTGATTGTAAAATGGGAAATCGGAGAACAAGGCAGAAAATTTGGTCAACTGTTCGCGTGCGGTGTGCCTTTTGTCAGTTCTCGTGGCCCGGAGCAGAAACCCGCTGTGTCAGATCAGAGACATGCTCAAGTGTCTCAGCCGTATTATATGAGCATATCCACACGCCCCTTCTTTCATTTCAGCTTCAAAGAGCATTATAGCTCCGAATTGGTAAAAGTTGTAATGCTTAAAAATTTGTAACCTTGGCAACAAATTCAATGTGTTTTCTGTAAATGCCTCATTATAAAAGCCTCCCAGCAGCAATGAAGAGAATGAACAGTAAATATAAATGTATATATCAAGTAAAGAAAATATACATCGGACAGCAAGCTCTGTTATTTCCTTTGAATCCTTTGTACATGTGAAGCACCTTGAACCCAGTAGAAGATGACAAGATGCAAGGACATATACTGGTTAGTGCTGACCATAGTTCCACAAACTGTTCAATGAAAAATCACTTTGAGGTCAGCTTACATACACACCAGAGTTCTCGTTTTCACGTTAATGGTAAAAGGAGTTTTGATGGTAATGATCAGGATTTGGCAGAGATAGCATGTGCTTATTTATTATCCACACAGTCCAAGCAATGTGAAGTTTTCAGTAATGAAACACTGCCATGTAAAAGCTTTGGCTCAAAAAAGTCTTCGATATTACAGAGCCACAGGAAGAAGTGCAATGGCACCAGTGTGATAAAACAGCACATTTAGGATAGACACTGCAGGAAAATGCTCTGATTTACTGCTGATTTCACTCCAACAGCTGTTTTAAAGGCTTTTCACCAAGAAACCAGAAATGCCAAAAGATCTAAGCGTGACCCGTAGCAGGAGATGTGAGGAATGCACAGAGAAGTGGTAGCAACAGGGAGGCTAAATATAACCAGATGCGTTCTTTGAGATCTGCTGCATTGTTGTTACCTCAGGTAGCATTTAGTTGTGTAGTTCTGACTGGAACGTGCACTCACAGCCACACCTGATGAATAACCCAAAGACTTGAACACACTTTGCAGATCACTGGCCCAAGGATCAAACTAAACAAGCGTGGTGTTGGCCCTTCTTAGCAATTTTCTTCTTTTCATAGTGCGCACAGTTACAAATTAACCCATAAAGCCAAAACTTGTAAAGAGCAATTTGCAAATCCTTTGCATTAAATGTGCCCATTTTACTCCGCTGACAGTGTCTGTCCTGTTCCTCACCTGAACTAAATATAGTTTGAGGTGTGGACGCATTTGCTCTTTTGCCAGTTTAATGAGGAAATTCTCCCTCTGTTTCCCAGATGCATCTGAGGTGGAGGAGGAGGAGACGGAACAAAAGAAAAAGCCAGCAGAAAAAACAAAGACAAAACCAGAGAAGAGGAAGATTGTAACAGAGAAGCCTGCTAAAGCCAAGAAGAAGAAAAATAATGAGCAGGTTGTTATGTCCTTTCTCTACAAAGTCTGCCTATTTGATGTTTTTACAGTATAAAGTGTGTAAGAAAATGTATCATATTAATAGGGTAAAAGACTGAGCCTCTCCTTGTCATTTTGTAGTCAACCAGTTCACAGGCACAAATGGTCATTTCAACAGTCGTTGCAAGGAAGAAGAAAGAAGTCAGGATAGATGAATAGAATACCTTCACAATAAATGTCCACCACATACTTATACATACACCCTCATTCTTTGAGACAGTGAATAAACCAGAGTGTTAAAAACAATTATCATAGTAACTGATGACAGAAATGGAAATCCTTTGATTTTTGCCCTAGCATTTGGACATTTTGATGTAATTTTAATGTGATATAATATAATTTGACACATTTAAATTTTATTATAAAATGTGCTCTTTACCTCTGAGGATTATTAGGTTTTAATTTAATTTGTATTTAGAGTTTCAAATGTTCATTAACATAAATTGCCTGAACTGTGTTTTCTGCATGTACTGTTGTCACAGAAGGAGCAGATGATCCCTCCAAGGAAGGAGACTCAGGATGAAAAGTCTGCTAAACCCCCCAAAAAGAGAAAGGTGGGAGTGGCGACACCTGGTGTTGCAAATATCAACTACAACAGTGTGCACTGGCTAAAGTGGGGCTATCATTTGGCTGCTTCTGGGGTTCTTACTTGTGTGTTTGTTTGTTTTGTTTTTGTTTTAGAAAAAGAAAACAATAACAGATGTCTTGGCCACCTCTGAGCCAAAACCAGGCTGTCCAGCTGACCTGCAGGATCTGGTTACGCAGTACTTTAAAGACAAGCGGTCTGTAATTGAGCAGGAGGAGCTCAAAGTGCAGGGTGAGTCAAGCTAAATCACCCTAAGCTTGCACATTCAGTCGATATCTGCTGAAATGTTGACTCACAGAAATCAGTGTGTCCTCTCCCATCCTCCAGACTCCTTTTTTCTGTCCAGTAATGACTTGACACACACCCTCTCTTCTTATCTAAAACAGAGTGAGTGCCGTTGCAAACTTTGACCAAGTCTTCTATTAGATTCCACTTATAAACACCCATCACTTTAATTGCTCTTTTTTTCCTCTTAGTTGCTCCCAAGTGGGCAAAGATTCAAAAGCAGCACACGGAAAAAAGTTCTGTGGTTCTGCTTGTCGTCTGCAGCTCTGCTCTCCGAACCATCGAGCTCATCAAGTAAGTGACAGACCACTGGTGTTTGTTGTGTTTCTCCAATTACCACTTTCAAATTAAAGTGATGGGAATGATGTTTGTTTGTGTCATTCACAGGCAGCTGACTAGTTTCAAGGGTGAAGCCAAAGCAGTGAAGCTTTTTGCGAAACATATCAAGGTACTGGAGATGACTGTTAATCACAGGCAGTGTGTGCAGATTGTGAACTGTGAATGATTTCATAGAATGATTGTCTGTGTCATTTATTTTGCATAGATAGAAGAGCAGGTGAAGCTGCTGCAGAAAGGCATCTACCACATAGGGGTGGGGACACCAGGGAGGATCAGTGCTCTCGTTGAGAGAGGTGTGTGTTTGTGATCGGCCTCTTTCGTTTAACTTCAAAGCTTTTGAAGTCTTCTCACTCTGATTTTGTTCCCCAGAGGGTTTGAGCTTGCAGGCATTGAGATACCTGGTTCTGGACTGGAACTGGCGGGACCAGAAGCTCAGAAGGATGGTGGACATTCCTGAGGTGAGCTACTGCCCCCTGCTGGGCTAGAGAAATTTATTTTTATTGCTGTTACTCCACTTTGACTTGGAGCTTCTTTTTCTTTTGTTTATAATAATTAACATGCAGATTTTCCCTGATCATCGTTTCTCTGTACTCACCGTAAAGCTGCACTTAAGATTGGAAACGTATTTCTTTAGTTAATTAACAAAGAAAAAGAAAAGAAATCACCTGAAAAAATTAGTCTTTTTTTAAGTAAAAGAAAAAGAAAAAGAAATGCTAAGATTGAAAAAATATTGATGTCAAAAAGTGACATTTTTATGTATCAGCACATTACTCAAATTTGAAATCAAATGTTGTAATAATTTGAATAACTGGATTCCTGATTTTTATGATCTGTAAGCAATAATCATCAACATTAAAACAGAAAAAACCTTTAAATATTTCACTCCTGTGTAAAAGTTATTATGAAGAAAATTCGTTTAATTATTTGTGATGCACTTTTTTAATTTTAGATTTGGCTTGTTGTCTACAAGAAATGAGGAAGAAATTAGTGGAGATCTTTTAATTGAACATATACTTTATGAACGTGGGATGTTTTAAACCATTATGACTTTTTTCCAGCGGTTAACCCTTTAAAAACTGGACATATTTGTTTAGTCGTAGATTCTGAAGCCTGACTAATTTGACTTTAGTTTTGTTTTCCTAGAATTCCCGTCTCCGGCAAAAACAGCGTTAAAATGTGAATCGTATCAAATATTTCCATTATTTTAAATATCCTAAATATTTATCCTGATTTAATATTTTGACCTTCCATTATTTTGTGTGTGCAATGCACTGGGTGTATGCTGTAAGCTGATGACACTGTGGAGGTACAGAGCGTGGGTTAAGGAGCAAGAAAATGGCTGTGGGGGAACTTCCAGAAAAGCCATAGCTGTGTTGTCTGCTCTTCTCACCTGATCCATTTGATACTTTTGGTTAACTAATAGAAGTCACAGATGCTCCTGGTTATAAGTGATGTTTATGCAAAGTTTCATTCAGATTGATGCACCTGTTAAAGAGGGGAGGTGGTACAAGTTGACATATGGATATGCATATGCTACAATTATTATAGTGAGAAAAGACTTTACATTGAAATTCAGTTCATTTTGATTTCATTTACATGTCACCAAATCCAGCAACTGTCGCCTCAAGGAGAACCTACAATATTAGATAGAAAGAGCTAAAAGTTATTCAATATTGAACCCTATTTGCATTGCAGAGTAATCTTTTTGGAGAGGATCTTTTAGTTTTTCGTTCCCTTTTAATTTCACTTCATATTTGCCTCTTTTTTTCAGATCAAACAGGATCTTATGAAGCTGTTGGAGAGTGGCGTCTTGGCTCGCTGTATGGAAGACAAAGTCAAAATTGGACTATTTTAACTGACTGCTTGACATTTAAAGAGACTTTGTCTTCACTATTCCTTGTGCTGATCCTGTCCCGAGCTTTTAATATTTCCAGAGCCTGTGTGAAATGTACAGCATTGTTTGTTCACTTTTGTGACTAACACAATGTCAGGGAGTGTGATCAATGAATAAACAGACTTCAAATTAAAGCCACATCCTTTTTTTTGTTTACTCTGACCTTGGAAAGTCCCCCCGACTGACAATGTGAGGTCATGAGTTTACTTAAACCACCGGGGAGCCCCATTCAGCATCCTACAGATACAAAGGGGCCCAGAACCACCCCGATATCTCCCGCAGCCAGTGACGATATAAAATGCTGTTCTGTACAAGTCTGTGTGTTGTAGGACGGAAGTACACAATCTTGTGGTAAATTGGAAGTAACAGAAAGAGGTAGTTGAGTAAAGAATTGCGGTTAATAAGTAACAGGACACAACGGTCGCCCCCACGATGCAAAGCCTGCTGGGAAAATCCCTTGGCAAGCAGAGGGGTGTGTGAGTGTGTGTGCAGAGAGATATCGCTGAAATAAAAAACAGGAAGACAAGAGGAGGGCTGGTTTACACGCAATTTTTGAGTCTCCAGCTGTCAATCAAGTTCTTCTTCTGAAGCCAAAGCTCTCGCTCTCATGGGGAAGGTGAAAGGCAAGCCCGGGCCCTTGGCTCGGAGACCCGACAACTCTTCTTTCAAACAGCAGCGGTTACCTGCCTGGTCTCCAATGCTAACTGCTAACACCGTGCTGCCTTTTTTCTACTTTATGGCTTTGATTTGTCTGCTGTTGGGTGTATGGCTGCTTCTCACTGTGCAGAACACCCAGGAAATGAAGGTGAGTGAAAACCACATTGCTTCTAAACGCTCACTTCCAGTTCTAGAAATTTGATGGCGTAAGAGCGCTATGCATTTGTCTTTGTTCATGTCAGAGAGGCCCCAATGCCTCTGTGTGCAATAAAAACAGGGTGTGACAACATGAGGAAAGGTCGAAGGTTGTGTTTGAAAAAGTTTAAGATCAAGTTCACTATCTGCACTTTTCCCCTCTCTCTCTCTCGTTGTCTTTCTAGCTGGACTACACAGAGGCTGAAACCTGCAATGAGTGTTTTGAAATGCGTAAAAATGTGAGCAACGCAAACAAGCCCTGCAACTGCACAGTCAATTTTAGGATTGACAAACCATTTAAGGTAAGAACCTCTCGGCACAGAGTGACAACATAATCCTAACTTGAGGGCCACTTAATAATCTTACTCCAGAGGCCTCAGTAGCACACGCTAAGTATGGCACAAAGCTCTGAAACAGCTTGGAAGTGGGTCTCGTGTGAAGATTATTACTCTCACACTCTCTATCTAACAGGCCCCACTGTCAGTACTTGCGTTTGTTGTCCGTGCTTTGAAGCTTAAAGCTTAAATTCATCTCAGGATTTGTGGTTCTACACTCATCCACTTGACGATGTGAATGCGTGTGTGTGTCCTAGGGAGATGTCTTTTTCTATTACGGACTCCGTAATTTTCATCAGAACCTTCGCAGATACATGGACTCCAGAGATGATGGGCAGACGGTTGGAAGGAAGAAAAATTTAAAGGTATCATCGTCATGTCATGAAAAGTGAAAAGTAATTGCCCCCTAAACCTAATAAATGGTGACGCCACCGTTGGCAGCAGGAACTGTAGTCAAGTTTTTGTATCTGGTGTTGAATGTTTCACATCACTGGATGAATTTTGAACCACTTGTTTTTTGCAGAATTGTTTTGATTCAGCCTCACTCGAGGGTTTTCTAGCATGAATGACCTGTTTAAGGTCATGCCTTAAGTGTGGACTTTAATTAGGCCGCTCCAAAACATTCATTTAAATGTATCTGGAGTCATTCAGAGGTGACTTTCTGATACGTTTCGGATCATTGTCCTGCTGCATAACCAAGTACGCTGGAGCTTTAGTGATCGCAGAACATTCTCCTTCGGGATTTTCTGGTAGAGGTACAGAATTTCACCATTGTGCTGAAGCAGCAAAGCAGCTGCAGACCAGCAGGCAACCACCAACATGTTTGACTGTTGGTGTGATCTTTTATGAAATGTGTTAGTTTTACACCAGATGTAACGGGACTCAAACCTTGCAAAAAGTTCAACTTTTGTCTCGTCAGTCCACAGAGTATTTTCCCAAAAGTTCTGGGGATCTTCAAGACGATTTTTGGCAAATGTGAGACGAGCCTGTGTTCTTTTTAGTCAGCTGTGGTTTTCTTCTTGTATTTGTTTATGTGGGGGAAAAGCACATCATTTCTCCTTTTATTTTTTAAATCAGCTGCATCTTGATGGGCGCAGTTGAAAAAAGTTGAAGTTATTTTGGGTGTGAAGAGTACTGCCTGTATATAAATCTGACTGCATGCACTGGGCAGTACCTGCTGTTTTATTTCAGTGGCCAACTTCATTTGACTCTGAGACAAAATAAGATGTTAAGTTATGTGAAGTTTCTCCCCAGTGTGATGCATAACGCTGCTGGGTCACCTTATGCATGGAGTGACAGTTCTGAGTGAAGGGATGGATCCGTCTAACTCCAGAGGTTAAAGAAGAGGCTGGGCAGCATTAGATGCTCATCTCCTCCCACAACACGGCTTCTCTAAGATGTTCAGCTCCGAAGAGCCGTTATAGAAACAAGACCACACTAATCATGCAGAAACTTAGCTTTAGTACCATACAAGTCAAAGTCATGTCATCTGTTGCACTTGGTTTGTGAAGATAAAAAACCGAAGTACAGTGTTTTGGACCACATGCATGAATCTTCAGCTACCATACATGCGTTGTAGTGTTTAAAGCCAAAGAAGCTTGAATTTTACTTGAATACTCAACTTGATTAAATATCACATCTTCCCTAGGACCCAAGTTCATATTGTGAGCCATTTTTGAAAGATCCCAGCGGACGCCCGATTGCTCCCTGTGGCGCTGTGGCCAACAGCATCTTCAACGGTAAACACAACTCAAAACACACGGCATCAGTTAGCAGATAGCTGCTAACCTTCCTGTCACTCTTAACTTGCATGTGTTTTCCCAGACTCCTTCACCCTGTTGTATCATCATCCCAACGGCAGAGGTGAGGTTCCTTTGATGCGGGAAGGCCTCACGTGGTACACGGACAAATACATCAAGTTCCGCAACCCAAAGACTGACAACTTGACTCTAGCCGAAGTGTTTGAAGGTAAAGAAGGAATTTTTTTTTTCTTTCCTCAGAAATCATTTTGTGTCATGTTTTAAATATTTTCCCCCCCACAGGAACGGCGCCACCGCCATACTGGCAGAAGCCCGTGTACAAGCTCGATCCTTCCAATCCCATGAACAACGGTTTTATCAATGACGATTTCATTGTATGGATGAGGGAGGCAGCTTTCCCCAACTTCAAGAAACTTTATGGAATCTTATTCCGAAACAACAACAACCCCTTCACGAAGGGGCTTCTAGCAGGCAATTACAGCATCAATATATCCTACAGTATCCTTTCACTGTTAGAGGCATCTTAACTCCCAAATGCACGTTCCCTCCATCTTTTGTTATTCAATTTAAACACGCTTCTCTTTGTTTAGATATTTTTGGCCTTGACCTCCTGCTCTTTCAGACTTTCCCGTGCAGTATTTTCGAGGCAGAAAGGAAGTGGTGCTGACAACGGTGACCTGGTTTGGAGGTCAGAACCATTTCCTCCCTATTGCTTACCTCGTAACCAGCAGCCTGATCCTCCTGACAGCTGTCGTCCTCACGGTGGTCTGGTGGAAGTTTGGAAAAGATGGGAAGAACATGAAGGAGTGAAGAAGAGGTGCTTCAGGAAACTAATGAGAGGAATGCTGGGAAAAACTTACAAGCAGATTAAAAGAGATTATTGCTGGGTTGATTCGAAGTTTTGTTTTGTTTTTTAAAAGAGACAAAAAAAAGCTAAATGCTAAACATTTTTGGGAGTAAATGATGGATGGGGAAAATGTTTTAAATAGGAATGTCGTGTTCGATTTCACGGCAGCACGTGAAGGAAAACTGCTTTCTTTTTCAGATCCACACGTGTGACGGGTTTATCGTGGTGCTGCTGTGTTTACACATCTGAGCTGTTTACTTGATTTTTACTTGCTGAAGTTTGCTTTTATAATACACACCATTTCTCATGTACTGTTAATATGTATAAATATTTATTAGAATTCTTACATTAACAAAAGCACAGATCCAACTTTTATTTTCCTAATGCAAAGTGTAATCTTGCAACCTTGTGTGCAAAAACTGTCTAAGTGCTACATCTTAAAATTGAATAAAGGATGTAATTAAAATGACCTGTTGAATCAAGTGTTGTTTCTGTGTCTTGGCTACTTCACATCATTTGACAATACTAAGAAGCTGCAGCCTAGCTAAATGCAAACATTTACAGGTTCAGTTGTTAGCGTATTGCTGTACTAAGTTACAAATTGAGACTACAAGCATGGGCAGGTCGAAGGAAGTGGGTGTAATTTTGCAGTATTTGTCAAATAAACGTACTGAAGGTACTTTGGCCCCTCTCTTATTTCCCAACGGGTCACCGCAGCAGATTGAGCCACATTTGATTGTAGATTAGATTTTACACAATCCCGTTTATCCAGGCTTGGGGCTCAGAGCACTCTAGCTTCTTAGACTGGGATTTTGTCTCCTGCCAGTCTTCCATGTGTTAACTGCTACACTGGCAGTCCAACACACTGGACAAGCAAATTCTGAGGAAGTAGTTTGAGACCCATGTTACTCTTTCTGGGGTGGGGAGAGAACATGAACATAAAACGTGGCAGTAATTAGCAAGTTGATAGCTCACAGTCCAGCATAAAGGGTGAGGCATCTTTTATGGTGTGGGGTTGTTTCGTTAAAGCTTTCACAAAAAAATAAAGGAAAAACATCCATCCATTCTCTTCCACTTATCCAACTCGGGGTCATAGATGGGCTGGAGGCAATCCAAGCTGTCATAGGGCAAGAGGGAGATTACACCCAGCACAGGCCACTAACCTGTTGGAGGATTAACACAAAGACTGTTAACCCTCCAACACTCGCATTAACACCTATTGTCAATTCAGAGTCACCAGTTAACCTAAACCCATGCATGTCTTTGCACTGTGGGAGGAAGTTAGAATACCTGCAGAAGAACCCATACAGACAACGAGAACATCCAACTCCACACAGACA